GGGGGGGGGGGGGAATGCAAACAGTAAGCACTTATTGAAGTGCTTACTCTAGACACAGTAAGCCAATGGGAGCTCTGCCTGAAGCCGTTCTTGCATCTGATTGGTTGACAGGGCTGTCATTCCCTGTAGTGCGCCAGCGGTGGAAGAGGCTATCAACTAATTATTCAGGGGGCGGGGGCTCGGCTTAACTTTCACAACTAGGCTCTTCCATAAACCACTTGGGAGCCTCCAGATCCTGGCCCCCAACCTCATCCCTGACCTGGGGAAGGATCCCCATTTACCCCCCACTCTTCCCCGATGATAACAGCAAAGTATTTACTGTGCTATATATTTTACACGCCTGGCTGGAAGGGGGCCCAAAGAGACAGGCAGTCGCCCATCTAGAGGCGGGACTCCAGCCCTGCCTACCCTTCATGTATTATTTATCCCTCAGAAGACCCCCAAGATCTAGAAAATGGATTAGGAGAAGGGACAGCGATGGAGGCTCCTGGAACCAGAGATTCCTGACCTCGTCACTTGCTTGAAATTGTCCAGCTCTGGCCTACTTCATTACTGTACAGATGGGATCGCCAGGGAGTGAGAGGGAGTTGCCACAGCTCACATACAAAGGGGGAACTAGGACCCAGAACCCCGGCCCCCACTCTAGAGCTCTCCTTTACATAAGGTAGGATCTGGGAGAGCGGCCTCAGTTTCTCCGTTTGTAAAACGGAGGTTTGGAGGGGTTCTCACGAGGAAAGAGGCTGCAGGTATATGTTGGCCAAGCCCCTCTCAGGTGAGTTTAATGCCCAAACTCCCTCTTGAAAATTTGTGGCCAATTCTGCTGCCCCCCAATACTCACCCGCAGAAGCGAAGGTGAGTGAGAGTCCGAACTCCGCCCGCACCCCCTAGCTCCCAGGAAACCTGCCTCCGTACCACCCATCCTCACACCTGCATCCTCTTGGGGCCGCCTTCTCTCCGGGACCCTCTCACCGTTCCAGCCCCCAGCACTAGCCGCCTTCCCTCTGCCCGACGGCGGCTGGGAAAGCACGGCCCCTTTAAGAAAAGGCCCCCTAGCGGGCGCCGCGCCCCTGCAGCTGACGGTGCCTCC